GGGTCTTGTGATTTACATTCAGATGCTTGTCAAATGATTAATATTTATGATGGTCACAGTGTCCCAGGGTCATGTGAAGTGACCAAAACCTGCTGCAATCACCCAGCAGACGGGGGGAATTAAAACAAACACCCCCACCCCACCCCACCCCCGCTGCCAATCCTCAACAGAAATGCTCACAACAATGAAAACCTCGGACAGGAGGAAGAGCGCCGCCGGGCAGGCAGGGAGGTGTCTTGTCTCGGCTGTGGCTTGGGGGGCACTTTTTTCAGTGCCATTGTAACTTTGAATAGTCACTAAGTGAACTGTTGTAAGTCGAGGACTACCTGTACTTTATCACTTTTTTCCTTTTTTTTGTCATCAAGTTTTTGACATCTTGCTAGGCGACTGGTGGTACTCGGATGTTGCCATATCCTAAAAGTGGTACAATGGGTGAAAAGGTTGAAAAGCCCTGATATAGATCACAGCAATAGACTATGGGTGTTGTAGCCCAGAGTGTCCTCCATAATCTAACACTTCCATGGCATTGGAGATTATGGGATGATCACTATGCAGTTTCAGACCCAGGGGAAACCCAAGGTTTGTTTTAACAATGATGTATTAAATATTTTTTAAGTTACTTAGTTCATACATTGCCAGTCTATGAACCATCACCCCAAAGCTCATTTTATCTGACGATTGCTTTGGCAGCAGCTCTTCCTCCGGTCCTTTAAGGCTAGTCCTCTGTTGTTCATCTTGGATTAATTTTTCCTGAACAAGGATGGAAATAATACTTTTCCTTCCCACTGTGCTCAGAAAAATCTGATTCAGAGAGAAATTGGTAGCTCAGTGTACAATTTGATGAATCCAATACCTGAAACTGATTTCATTTCACTGAAGTGAATTAGTCTTGATCAGATTAAATCAAAATACTTTGACCAAAAATCTTTGTGGATCAGATAACATCAGTAATTTCAGCTGTGTTTTCTTTAGGATGGAGGACAATCCTCCTTTAAAATGAGTTTCCTTTTGAACTTAGTTTTGAAAATTTATATTGAATGTACGATCTATTTTCTAAAATAACATTTGGGCAATTAACATTGTTTTTGCCTGGAAGGCATTAATGATATCAAATCAAATCTTTATTATGGCCTTTGGGCCAGAAAGAATGATATCAGTATTTTGGATTGTGACATTTTTCCAGCAAATAACTGCATGCAAATATTTGAGTCAGCTCAGAATGAACATTTTAAAAGATCCTTTGGGTAAACAGTGTCTCCTGAATAACTTTTATAACTGTAAACATTGTGAGTCAGTGATAGTCTATTTCCTTTAGGCAGAAATGTGTGGGTGTCATTACAAATTCATTTGTTATTACCACAATCTGTATCCAGCTCTGAATCTTTTATTTAGGATATAAAAGAAGTCACCTTGTTTTATTTTGTTCAACTCCTGGTCTGGGCAGAATTATGCAAGTATTTATTTGACCCTTTGTCAAAATTGCTAGTCAAAGTAAATTGTATGTTTTTTATTAAAAGCATGTATGTGTTTGCCTTATGCAGACTCTTATGGTTTTGCAAGTGATTTTTAAGTAAAGGAATTAATCATAATCACACCCAGCAAAGAGATTCCATAGAAATCCCAAGGATGATGGATGGATGTATGATTACATGTTCATGAAGGCTTAGAGATTGCCTCTCCTCAAAGGAGTGTAATTAAACTTAATATTAGAACACTTAAAACCAAATGAACCACTAAAAAAATCTGCATTTCAGTTTATACTGAATAATCAAATCTCGTTAAAAAGTTGCCAGGAATCAGCTCCATCGCATTTGTTGCTTCTTCCTTCTGGTTGCTTGTGTTAGATTGGTCAAACGTTACTGTCAGTTCACCATGGAGGACTGTCCTCACATTTCCACACAATAACATGTGTGGCTGATCCCCAGTTATAGGGAGCATTTCAGTACATTAATATAACTAAAGGTGGTGTAATACAATGCTGAATCTAAGAGGTCTGTAGCATGGGCAGATCACATGCTACAGTATATGACTTTGTTTATGAAATAAATGAAAGTAGCACCCAACTTTGGTTTATTGGTTGATTCCAAGTCTTTTTATATATCAGCAGGATGCAGATAATAAAGTCCAAAAAAGGTGAACACATTTTTACAGAACTATAGATACATTGAGGCCTTTGTTTCTATGCTTGATAAACTGGATTTACTCCATTTAAATGAGTAGGGACATCTTTGAAGCTACTTTGGATCCTGCCATTGCTCCTGGAAAGTCAAAGTAATTGTTGGGGCTGTAGAAATACCTCTGGCTTCCTTCAGTGGATGTTCCAGTTATGCAACTTCATGGAGAAGACAGATTTAGCCCTAGTGAGTCACCCATTAATTATGTCCTGACTAAATTATTGTTGTCTTTAGGAGCATGCATTTGAAGTGTAGTTGAGAAATGTAGTAGTTATTTCATTGGCCTTGCATGATTCTGAGCACAATTTAAGTACAGAGCATTACCTGGGTTGGGACCAAGAGCTATGAAAATTTGCCTCGACCTTTATAAGCCTGTTCCTAGTTTCCTTTGAGGTCCTTCTGTATTTACACTATCCAATAAAGTGCAGTTGGTAGAAATGGGGGAATAAGATATTTCCTGAGATGCAAGCCAGATTGTGTTTTGAACAGTTCCTTAAAAGCTTTTTGTTCCTCTTGGCTGCCAACTGATTTTAAGTACATCAGTTCTACTTTATTTTAAATATTTTCCTTGTCTTAGCTTTGCTGTTTCATTTAATTAATAATCCTTAATTAGATAGCAATGTAATTATATACCTTTTAATAAAATATATTTATTTCATATAGTATGCCATAGAAAACCCAGACAGCTGACAGCCTTACCACACAGATAGATAGATAACCTTTATTGTCATTTTTTACTGTGGGCACAATGGCACACATTAAAAATGAAATTTAGTTGCTTGCTCTCAAAGTGTACACATACATAACACACATTTAAACATACTATATACAACATATGTATAGACCTACACCCTTACATATAAGTAACATATAAATATTAATCACTGTCCATCTTAAATACATAACGGAAGGAGGAAGCTTTAAGGTTCACAAAGTTAATACTGTATGGCAGAAGTCCCCAACCTTTTGGGCACCAGGGACCGGTTACATGGAGAGAGGTTTTTCCGTGGACCAGAGGGGGCGTGGTTTTCTGTGCTGCCTGCATCCTTGTTTGTGTGGACTGGTTGCTGGCATGCTGCAGCCTGGTAATGGTCCATGGACCAGGGGTTGGGGACCCCTGCTGTATGGAACAAAACTGTGACTGAATCTGGATGTTCTGCTTCAGATACCACGAAGCCTCCCCTCAGAAGGTAACAAAGAAAACAGGTTGTGAAGAGGATGTGTAGTGTCCCAGACTACACATCCTTGTGGACCCTGCTCAAGCAACGCTTATATGCTGTGTCCTGGATGGAAGGGAGGGAACTGCCAATAATCTTTTCAGCCATCCTCATCACTCTCTGCACCACATTCCTGTCTGAAGCAGTGATGCTTCCAAACCAGACTGTGATGCTGTATGTTCTTTGAAGCATTTCATCTGTCAGAACCATGACAACAGGAGTACATCTGTGTACTCTTGTTCTGTAGAATATAAGTTCTAATTTTTAAATTGTCACTGGGCTTGGGAGTCTCTTTCTATCCAACGGGTGATTCAGAAATGTTCTTATAAATAAATATTTAAATAACATTAAGATGTTTACATATTCAGATTAATATAGAAATGGAATGAAACAGACTTACAAAGTGGATTGACTTACCTTTATTTCTCAGAACAGTTCAAAATCCATGCTGTAGGAATACTATCACCAGGATGTAACTTTTGTCTTAGAAGTTGTGTCAATTCTACAAACGAATTTGGCTGAAGCCATTTCTCCTTCGTTTTCAGTTGCCACAGAATTGGGAGGGGGATGAGTGTTTTTTAGCTTAGTCAAAACAATAAATTGTTCTGTGGGAATCAAGGTCATTGCTGGTTGCATTTTGGCGGGCTAAAGCTTCTGTTAAAAAGCCTGCACAAGTAGTTAATTGGGGATTGTGATTTATGACATATTACTGGGGTGGGAAGTTCAACTTTGTAACATTGTAAGCTTTGGGGGAAAATTCAGTCTTTGGTTCACTTTTGATCGTGCCGATACTATATAGCCAAATAAATATGTTCTTTAAGGAAACTTTTTTGCCTTGGAGTTCTTTTTACTGGTCTCATCTATCGGAACCATGACAAGTTGTTTGCTATGTGGCCTGGAATAATGGTCTTTGAGAAATGTAAATCTAAATTTACATTTGTCAGATTTAGAACCATAACAATAACCGTGCAGTAATTTGAATCCATACAGCAGTAACTGCCAAGGGTAAATTTATAGTAATTGTTTATATCTCTTGCATTACCTTACTCTATTTGTAGAGTATTTTATTTTATTTTCTATGAAATAAAAGCCAATCCAATTTGTGTTAGGAAACTGTACAGGAAAACAGTGATTGACAACTGCTTTAAAAATGTTTATTTGCTTTTATACTTATGACTATAATTTATATTTGCAATTCACTTTTCACATGTTCAAACATAATTTACATGCCATACATTTAGTAGCAATATTAATAAAAAGCCCTTCACTGTATTTCTTACATATTTCAAATCTTACAATTATGCAATATGTTTGGTAGGCCAAGCAAGCACCTTACTATCTTGAAATGTTTAATATTCCATATGCCACAAGGAACTTTGATTATCAATATTGGTATAATAAATAGTGGTACAATAAATAGCCCAAGGAGGAGGAGGCATACATTTGCAAGTGAAATAAACTCTTTGCGAGTTTAGTTTTGTACAATTACCTAGGGCACCTAAAACGATTGATTATACTGTATTTCCATTGATATTAGCAATAAAGCTGATAAAGAGACAAAAGCAATACTTAAGGCTTGGAAGTATCTTTTTCAAAAGCATAAGCAGCAATGAACGATGGTGTTGTATTGGTTGACTTACCTTCAGGTACAGGCAATCTAATTAAGGCATGTGGTTGGTGAAACTTTCACCCTATTAGGAATCAAAAATGTGTCATTACTATTACATTGGATTGTGAACAAGAACCAGATGGCTGGAATAGATGCAAAGACAACTTGTATCTGCAGTATTGTCTATTCTGTTCTGTATTCGTTTTCATTCTCTGTTGATATACAGGGGATGAATTGGGAATCAAATGAGTCAGGGGTATGTAATCTATCCCCCTCATTTGCCATGGCGCTTTATCCATGTTTAACATTAAGCCATGCTTAGAGTTTCATGCAAATCCAATTTTTTTAAAATTCTATCAGCAATTAGTTGGTTGAATTAGAAACAAACTATTAGATAATTTACAGAGAATTCAGCACCAAAATGCATAATTTTAATATTGATTAATCTATCACATTAAGCATGGTAAAAACTGTGTAATTTCTGATAATATTTTTGTGCCAGGTGTTTAGTTTTTGTATATTACTGTAACCTTATAATAAAAATACCATTAGCATTGATAATCTTGGTTTCTTTGTTTGGTCTGCCTTGAAGGGCTGTCACCATATACGGTAAGTAATCAGGTTTTTGTTTGTGGCCAGGTATAAACCACTAACTGATATGGGAACCAATGGGATGTGATCCTGTTTACTTGCTCATGTTAATAACATAGCACAGAGGACCAAATGCTTTTTCAGTGTGAATATTTTTGTGTGGAATATTAGGTACCTTTCTTTAAAAATATGCAGGCAAAAAAAAGTGGCAGAACCAGGGCCAAAATCAAGTTCTAAGACTAGATTTTGTACTATAGAGGCGAAACACACATACAGACAAAGAAAAGAAAATGAGAGAGCATCCTGCATTTTTATTGAATGCAATTTTAAATTTCTGTAATTATAGTTATTCATACTCAAAATTTCAACAGCATGGTTTATTTTCATGCAAATACTCGTACCTGAAGGATATTGTGGCTATTACAGTTGTAAAAGTTAGATTAATTATAAAGTGTATCAATTTGAGGAACTATAGGCCAATAAATGATGAGGTCTTGGATGACTTAGAATCCATTAATTCTGAGTTCTGATGACTGTTAATCCTTCCGGATTAGACATAGTCAATCAGTCAAAAGGAGTGGTACTAAAAGGGTTACAAATGACTATTTCTTATGGGAAGACTTGATATAGACAGCTACATTTATGCTACCCACTTCTAAATGTATATTCAGAAAGGATTTTTCTCTTAGACTAGACTGAACTTCAACTTTTACTTTTTGTAAAATCAATTATATATATATAATTATATATATACACACACACACTGGTTGTATTCAGTGTAACAACAATTGAAGTAGGCCTTTCATTCATGTTCATACAAGCTGTAGCAGAAGAACTAGCATAACTAGTCCAAGTGGCACCTGGCAAAATGATGATGTATTGAGCTATAAAGCAGAATCCATCTGTTTGGCTTGACATTTGATCAAGGACAAATCCTCATGAACAGTGTATGTTTTGCATTAGTAAAAACCTAAACATTTTATACTAGATTTTTATTTAATATCTTTTTGTTATTTATCTAAATTCAAAGTGTGAGAGAGAGTGAGAGAAAAAAAGAGAGATCACAGATTTGAGTACCAGAAATAATTTTTCTATGATACAAAATATTTTAATTAAGGGATTAGGCAGAAATGGAATTTCAGTCTCTATTAACCATAACAGCTATATGAAACCATGCAGTCAGTTTGGCAAGGCAAACAGAAGACCAACAAAAAGATGTTTTAGGAACTACATATCTAAGATTAAACAAAGTGAGAAGTTAAAGCAGCCCCCCCCCTCCAAGTCAGGCTGCAGGTTATTAGAACTTGTCTTGTAATGTTTGTGCTCAGTGTGAAAGATGGTATTTATAAATAGTCAATTACTCATAAAGTGTTCTATTTCTCAGGTGGATATAATTCATGACCCAGCTTGCAATTTCTAGCTTCTGACACTCCTTAGGGCTATGTTACATGACACACTAAACTTCTACAGGAGGTTAAAGAGACTTTGTGTACGGTCATCTTAAGTCCATCCCTATTGAGTGTGATGTTAAAGCAATTTCTGAGGCTTATTGATAGGGTCAGGTTTTTTTTTATTCATGACTTTGAAATGTTGAGCAATAGTTATAAAAAAAACCCTCTTCCTACAATTGTAATCTTGAAAATTTAACCTAGCAAATCCTTAGATTTTTGTCCCATTAAATGGGGATTAATGCCAGAAGTGGAAAAAGTTGAACAAATACTACATCAGGAAATAAAAATCAGGAAACTATACCTGCAGGTATATTTTGGTCTTAGAGAATTTTGTGGTGTGAAAACAAAGAACAGGCTTAAGCTCAACTCTAGGAAAACAGAAAAGTTGTAGGTTCTTGGACCACCCAGCGCAGGTAACAGTCTTTTTTGTCCTTTTTATTGTGTAATTATAAAAGTCTTGACACATTATATTATTTCCATGCAATCATATTTATATTATATAATTACAAATTCTTGACATTGCACTATTTGGATAACTTAGAGAATTGGAAAAAAAATCTTCTTTGGAAAGACTGCTGTTTTAACTATTGTGATCTTTGCTGTCATTGAAAAGTAAATCTTATAATTCAATACTCTTACCCTTACTGCTAACTTTCCAAAAAATAATCTCATTTTTATTTCTCTAGAATACAGTTCACCTTTGTCTTTTTCTTTAGCCAAGTAAACAAAAGTATCTACCATCCTTCTTTAGTGTCAAATGTCAGTTTGCTAAACCTGCTGGTTGACATAACGTTTGCTTTCTTAATATTTAACATTAATTCAAATGTTTCATTTTCATTATGAGTTCTTATAAGTCTCCTTTGCTTCCAGCTCACAAAATGGTGTGATCTGTAAATATCAAATTGCCAGTATTTTGAATTCCAATACTGATTTCAGCTCTCATCTTTTCCAAGTGTTTATTCTTATATGGTATTTTCTGGTATAAACTATCTGAGACAATATGGATCCTTGTCTTACTCGCTTCCCTATTGTGAGCCATTTTGTTTTCTATTCCTCTTCAATCTGCAATCATCACACTGTATTTTCAGGCAATTACTTAATTTAACAATTAACCTCCCTCCAATTCATATTGTTTGTATGAATATTCAACAGGGTTTCACTGCAACTGCTATTTCCCATTCTTCAAACCACCACAAACTTGAACAAAATTTTAATTATAAAGAAGAGCCTTGAAGATATCAAGCAAGGAGTCCTGAGAGGAGCCCCTCTCCAAAACAGAGAGCGAAATCAGGGAAGGGGAATAATGAGATGCTTAAGGCTCAGCTGTATTAATTTTATGCTATAACTGATTAGATAGAAAATGTTTACTTCTTTCAGCTTTAAATCTGGAACTCAGTCACACTTTAAAATATTTTTTAAAACAATGTTACCTGGGAATTGCTTCCAACGCAAGGAAATTAAACAGCAACATGTTTTCCTGATGGATTGTGTTTATTTAAGAATTTAATGTTATGAAAGCTTCCGGAGCAATTCAATATGTTTATTCATTCTATGGATTAAAAGACTATCAGTGTAATCCTAAGAGTTCAGTTAAACAGACCTTTAGGTAAGTATATACATAAACATATGTAAATAATACATACATTATTACTGCTTAAATTTCAGGTTAGATCCACTTCAACTATATATATTAATGATCTACTTTAACAACAATTATGTTTTAATCCTGTCTTTCCTCAAAGATGCTACAGGTTGAGAATTGTATTCCACATGTCTACTATGTACCCTGATGTCCAACAGTATCCTTGCCTCTGGATCTAGACTCATAGATGTTGCTCAGGTTACTAAAGCTTTTAATTCCTGGAGATTGTAATATTTATGCCATGGACAGTTATTTGGAGCAAACTGAATTCATGACCACCCATGACTTGCACACTTGGGACTTATTTGTTTTTGTAGCAAGATAGTAAACTGTGATTGGGGAACGCAGAGGTGACTCCTTATGTAGATGGATCATCACCTGGTCACCCTGTATAGTTGGCATCATCGGTCCACTACAGGAACATAGGGCCAGTTTAGAGAGCTGGTGGTTTTCTTTCTTTCTTGGATCTATTTGATATTATCTGACAGTTATCATTTTGGCTCCAAGACTTCTAATCATTCACATAGATAAAACTGGCTCCATGACAGCAATCCAGATTTCTTACCCATTTAAATGTTGAGAATAAATTGAGATCATTTTTATCTTAACTTCTAAACAAGCATGTTATAGATCAGGATATTCCACCATGGATGAATGTCCCAAGTTTCATTTAGTGAAGAAATACTCTAGTTCTATCAACCACATCCTTTATGTTGTCTTTATTGATTACAGGGCAGCCTTCCATTCAATTCCTCATGAAAACCTATAGAGGAAATTACTCAGAAAATCCATTAATCTTCACTTTCTGAGGCTGATAATTCTGTTCTATCAAAATACTACAATACAGATTAGAATCTATTGCAATGATGATTTAACAACCCTATCCCTAGCTTCTGAGGAATCAAACAGGGCTATATTCTTGCTCCTTATTCAGTTTCTATATAAATGAGAGATTGTATGCTTTCTAACCAGAAGTTCACCGTCCAATACCTTCATACTATTCTATTTCAATTATTTTGTGTATGGATGATTATGGCTATTTTATGCATAATACAAGTACCTTTCATATATTCCTAGTTGCTTTCATGTAGTGCTGTTCTAGGGAGCTTCTTGAAATCAGGTACTCAAAAGCTGTGAGTATAAAGGAAGAAAAGGAGGAAATGTTGCAGCCAAGACAATGCTCAGATAAGAGAAACCTAAGCCCAAAGCAAGAATGGAATTTGAGAAAGCATCCCTGACTTGAGTCTTTATAGTTATCTTTAGGATAAAAGTGGGGAGGACAAAGGTACATTCAGAGTTGCAAGAGACTGTTACTGTAACCCTACAATAAATATTCATGATTTTAGTTTAGTTTAGTTTAGTTTATTGTATTTATATCCCGCCCTTCTCCTTACGGACTCAGGGCGGCTAACAGCCAGATAAAANGACGGCACCCTGAGGAGACCCACTCTGTGGGAGCGTACTGGTCGATGGGAGGTAATCTGTGGCAGGAGGCGGTCTCGGAGATATCCAGGTCCGATGCCATGGAGCGCTTTGAAGGTGATAATCAACACCTTGAAGCGCACCCGGAAAGCCACCGGCAGCCAGTGCAGCTCGCGCAGTAACGGTGTTACATGGGAGCGACAAGTCCCTCCCAACACCGCCCGCACGGCCGCATTCTGGACTAACTGGAGCCTCCGAGTGCTCCTCAAGGGGAGCCCCATGTAGAGATTTTGATGTTCAAGTCTGGTCTATTTTGAAGGGCTGCCACAAACCAAAGTTCTAGTGATGCCCTTTAAATCCTCTGTTAAATGGGAAATTAAATCAGTTGATCTAAGTTCTTTAGATCTAGATGTTAACCTGATCTAAAGGCCAATTGATCAGGTTAAGAAATTCAAATATCTAGACATCCACTTCAACTTTTCACCCATTGGTATAATTAGTTGAATGAAGTTTCTATTAGAGCTCAAAAAGCTTCTAACAAATCTTAAAACATGTCAGTCATCAAGGTAATAATTACATTTCTGTAGCCCAAAAAAATTGTACAAAGTAAAGATGTTGGGTCTATTATTGCTACATAGTGCACAACTTTGTGTTTATACTTTAAAAGCTATTCAGTTCCAGTTTCTGAAAGCCAAACTTCATGTCATTCACTATTCCTACATTACCCATTATATATCACCCATTGTGTCTTGCACTCATAAATCTGATTGGCAGAAAATTTAGTTGTTTTTCTGATGAAGAAATTACAATCTCATTTTTGCAAGACCTAACTTTTGACTTCTGGCCCAATCAGTGCTTGGAAGATATGTTCTGTGACTTTCAGACTTGGTAGCAAGTTTTAAGCAAGAGGACTGGTTAGTGCAGGGCTGAACTACATTGATTTCTGGGTTAGCGCACTACAGTGAATTCATTAATAATGTAGTTAAACTACTGTGCAAATACAGCCAAAAGATAAAATTGCAAAGAACATTAGAAAAAAAAATCTCATGTCACTTGCTCAACTTCAAATGTGCTTGTTCAGCTAGATTCTAGAACAATTATCATAGTCTCACGACAAACCATATTGAGTTTTCTTATTTGTAGTTTAGTAAATTCAGAAAACCTAGTTTGAAATTCGTGGTTTGTAACTCATTGTGTTGTTAATCTGGCAAATTACAGTATGAGTACGAACAGCGACAGTCTCCAGGTCTTTGTTGAGGGACCGATACGCGTGTGTGCAGGACTTGACTTGGTATCATCCCAGCCACAGATCAGCTGTGTCTCTGAGACTCATCACAACAAGAAACAACAACAACAAAAGAATGAGAAGTCACGGAGGGGCGGGGAACCCAACTCTCTGCAAACCAGTCCATTTGAAGTTTTATTATTTTGATTTTCCAACCGCAAGGAATTCCCACTTCCATCCAGGCAGTACGACCCTCCGCGTTGAGAGAACGGTGGGAACTCGGTGTCAGGCTAGGCAAGTTTCTCCTCCCGGCAAGCGGCGGCAGATCTCTATGGAGATCCCAGGTTGCCACGGGAGCTGCCCTCCGCACGCAAGCGGCCGAGCGGGCGACCGCCGGCTCTAACTGGCCGTTCCCAACAGACGCGGGCGGCTTGAAAATAATTAGAGCGCACGCCGAAGTGCCGGCGGACAAGGCGGTACGCCGGCGTCGAGCACTGATTGGCTACCGGCTATATAGGCTGGGACGGGAGGCCGGAGGGGCTGCGTTAAGTCCTTGTTTGGCTCCGTTTGTTCCCCCTGGACTCAAGGAATCCCAAAGGAACGCCTTTCGCTACAGGTGGGGAGGGGAGGAGCGGGGAGCGGCGGGGTTATTGCAAGAGAAATGGGTAACTGTCGCAAGGTCCTCCCGGCAGCACTTCTTTTGGGGAATAACCGAGCGGCGATGAGAAAGAAGGTTCAGCATTCGGGGCGAACCACTCCTTCCCCCCACCCTGCCCTCCTTTTTAGCTTGTCTGGAATTGTAGTTCCAACTACATCCTGAACTCTTTCCCCTTCTTTCTCTCCTCTCCTCCCCGCCCCCCCCCCCAGCCCTGAATGTGATGCGGAGCTTGGGGGGAAGTTGTTCTGCTTTTGAAATCATTTCGCCATAGCAAAAGATCGTGGTTTTTTTTTTTTCAAAATCTTGTTTGAGGATACTTAAATAATTGTTATTTACCCCCATAGAAAGCTTGCATGCCTTCCAATACCTTAATTAGTAGTAACAGAGACCGAGGGAGCTGAATATGTCTTCTAGGACCAGGGAACTAGCGGCTGGATTTATGCAGTTTTGTAACCATGATTTGGTAAAGAAGCCCTATTGACTCAATGGTCTTATTTATACTCCCATCAAAACACTGTAGCCTTTTGATGCATGAATACTGTATACATGGATTTTGACTTGTTCTCTTGGAAGAGATTGACAGATTTGGTTTATGGATGTAGTTGTATTTGCATAGCACACTGAACTATAAGATAGTCTACCATATATTCAGTGTGTGAACTCAGCCCATTTGGTGAGGTAATGGATTAGCATCTTGCAAACTCAGACTGTTGAGTTAATTGAATACGTTAGGGATACTGCAAGTACGTTACAGAACTGCAGCTGTGTTCTATAAGATCTTCAGCTACATGTCGCTTTGGCCAATCTTAAGTTGATAGCTTTCAAATGATAAAATTGGCCTGGAGAAACAGTATTAATACTGTTCTTCCAAAAGTTTACTAGATTTGAGGATGAACATAGATAGGGAGGTATGATAATCCAGCTCTAATGTTTGAAAATTAATGTATAGGTGGAGTGGGCAATTAGCTGGATGTTTGTTGATGTGCAGTTTCTCATTGTGAAAATAATGGGAGTGCTATTGAAACCCTGTGAAAATGTCACATGTTTGAAGATTTTCACTTGAATGTGCTAAGCCAAAGAGTAGCAAGCTGATTTGAAAATATAATTAATGACATTTTTTTGGTTGTTTTTTTTCCAGTATCAGCTGCTGATCTGCAGGAAATGTATCATAGTAGCAAGGATGATGAGATGGTACAAGCTGGACTTCGGGGTGCCCTGCCACTTCCAGTTGTACCCCATGACAGTCAGAATTCCCAGCACAGAGTTGTTCTTGGGGAGCTGCGTGAAAATGGACAGTGTCTAAGATCTTCTTCCCACGTAAGTTGGAGGGCATTTTGGATAACCAGGTGTCTAGGTGACTGAGCTGAAGGGAAGAGAGTAGTGGCTTAGTGTTTCTGTTTTAGTCCTTAGAACTTTCCCAAATGTATTCAACTTCTCAGAGTTGGAAATCTAACACATGCAGATGATGTCAAGATAGGGAAGCTTCCTTTAGTCCTGCTGCCCATGTTGCTGCATGTTGGACCAGCTGAAACTTTCGAATGCTTTTCAAGGACACGGTGAACATTACAGTAGTAATTGGCAGACTACCAAGGCATAAGTGACCATGAGCAGTGCCTCCAAATCTGTGAAAGAGTACAACTAGCACCCAAGATATATGTGTGCAAAAATTCTCTTGACCATGGTTTCCACTTGCTTTTGAGCTGTAGTCCAGGAAGATTTTCAAATTACACTCTGATTGTTTGCCAGAGTTAACAATGGCAAACCACAAGATATGGGGTACCCTAAAGCCCCCAGCTATTCAGTCTTGTCAGGATTGAGCTGAATCTGGTTCATTCCCATACAGATTCCAGGCAGTGGCAAAGCACCTGCACAGTCTCACTTGGCCCAGGACAGAAATGATTAAGACTTTTATTTTTAAGGGTCTAATTTATTTTAAAATAAAAGAATTTAATTAAATCAACCAATTAAATCAATTTCCTATCCTGAAGTTTCTTAAATTATTTGCTTAGCTTCTCTATTGATATTCTTGGTCAAGATTATCAAAATTATCCCGGATGCCAGTAATTTACAGTAAATAAATTCTTTTCCATTTCATTTAGAAATATTTAATAACAAAAAGAATTCCAGCCTCACTTACCAGAATTATTGACAAACAATTTCTGTGGTATCAAGGTACTGCATGTTTTTGGCATCTTAATGTGGTTATTGTTCACAAAATACCATGAAAACGTGAAACAACTAGGTATTCTGCAAATAAGTTAGCTGAATGAGAAATCGGTAAACTAAGAGAAATACTAACTAGTGAATAGTTCAGTTTTTTAAGCAATTGAGTGACATTCCTGTAATTTACATAATACTTAGATCCAGTGATAGTTGAAGTGTTAAGGGGCTGTTAAAAGGCTTTGGAATGCAGGGCTAATTGAAATGAATGTGGTCTTTCAATGGAATAACTCCATTTTTTAACCTTAATTACTAAAACTTCAGGATTGAGAGAGATTGGCTGCACTTATATACTATTTCTTTATTCATTTTGTTGGATTTAGATGTTGCCTGACTCTTAAATAAATCTAGGAGCTTATATTTTTAAAATAACCACAAAATGAAAAAAAAGAAATAAAAATATGTACATCGGGGAAAACAACGCCAAAGCCAGTGAAATCACACAAAGACTTAATACAGTGTATGAATCCAGCCAATTGTGATGTGTCAGTGATTTCATTATGTTGCCGCCTTTAGTTGGACTAGAAACACTTGTTGGGTATTAGAGCTTATGTTGTCTCTTTCCCTATAAGGAAATAACATTCTTCTTTGTTACATATATGTTAAGGAAGACAGTTGCTCTACTTCTGGATCTTTAATTCTTCAGTCTTGCTTTCTCAGTGAACCTTAAAAAATGCATATCGTTATTTTTTGGGGGGATTGTATAAATAAGAGAGATGATACATTAATTGTGTCTGAATATTGAGAAAACTGTAAACAGCTAGATTTATATGCAAAGCCAAAATATACAGAATTATAATAGCCATTTATATCAGTGAACAGTATAAGGTATTTTCGTATAAATATCCCAGGTAATTCCTCTGGTACATCATGGCTTTCTGATCTTGATGTGCATGTGTGTGCCTGATTCACTAGCAATGGTTAAGTCACCTTAGTTGAGGAAATTCAGTGTTCAGCCTGGAAATAGGTAGTTGTGCATTCTCCTTAAGAAATTATTGCTTGACTTGGCTATTGTAGATAATTATTGGTCTGTTTCCAATCTTCTTTTTTAGAGAAAATAATTGAGAATGTGATGGGGCTGCAGCTGTACATCTCCATTCTAGGCCATTCTAGTGTGTGGGGGCTGTTAAATGGGAAAAAACCCAAATGTTAGACTTAAATCCTGTAAGACAAAGTAGTTGCAGATTTTAAAGTTGACTGATTTCAGGAATAGCCCATCCTTTGTTCTGGATGGGACTATAGTCCCTCATTCTCAACTGGCACATAACTTGAGGGTTTTCTTAGACTTGTAACTCTTGCTAGATCAGCAAGGGAGATCACTGTCCAGAAACCTTTTGTGCAGTTACAGTTTATGTATCAACTGTTGCCATTCTTGGAATGAGGTGCTTTGCTCATAGTCACTCAACTCCATGCAATTCACTGTACCTGTTGCTATCCCATTCAGAAGCTTTAGAGGTGCCACATGTGGTGCATATACCAAGGTTCCTTTATGTGACACTATTACAGTAGGGGCCTATCTTGGTTGATGATTAGATTTTGGATAAAATTTGGGAATCAGTTGTTTCTTTGAAGTTTCACTTCTACGTAGCTAAGAGCCTGGATATTTCTAAGACTGCTTACTTTAGACTGAATCCAAATATTCAAAACTGTCTCATCTTTATTAAACTTTCAAAGAAAACCACAAGAACATAATTCTTTCAGACAACATTCAAGGACAAGATGGAAAATTATATTTCTGGGTGTAGGTACATTTTGTTGGATATTATTTTGTTTGTGGCATTTTACTTACCATATACGGTAAGTAAAAAATAAATATAATGAATAGTTTAGGGAACTAGGTATGTGTAGCCTAATGAAGAGAAGGATTAGGAGTGACATGACAGCTGTCTTCCAATACTTGAGGATCAGTCATAGAGATGAAGAGGTTGACATGTTCTCTAAAGCACCTGAAACAGGACAAGAAGCAATGGATGGAAGCTTGTTAAAGAGAAATCCTATCTGGAATTAAGGAGAAATTTCCTGACAGAGCAGTTAAGCTTGTCCCTCCACTCTAGAGTTGTAGGTGTCCCATTGCTGGAGATTTTCAAGAAAGCATTGGCCATTCATTTGTCTGGGATAGTATAAGGATTCCTGCCTTGGGCAGGGTGTTGGACTAGAAGACTTCCAAGTCCCTTCCAGCTCTATGATTCTGTGATTCTTCTTTGAAATTGTTTATTGTTAAGTGACTCAGATTCTCAGCATAGACTCTCTTTTACTAAATTGTAATAAATAAATACAACCTAACCAAACTTGTTTTTTGGCCTAGTGACTTCCTTCTGTTCTTATGAAGTCATAATTTGAGGAATCTTTAATATCCATCTCTGCTTTATCTAGAAAAAGTATTTAGCATTTTCCTGTGAGTTATCTTCAGAAATGAAAGAATGTGTTCATTTCCTATATCACAGTAACCCAGTTCTATGATTTAAATTAGTTACTTCTGGTCTTGGGCTGATGGAATTTGAGTTATGGTTCCCATCATAGCCATGCAGCATGATCTTTAGCCAATGATAAGAATTTTTGTCCAACAACATTTAAAGCCCAAGGCTGAACTGAATAATATTATTTTTTAATTTTTTATACAGAACTATAACCATTGTCTGGAAGTTGAGTCATGGCAACTGGACTTCTTTCTTTTTGGTTTAAAATGTTTCGCTGCTTATCCAAGTAGCCTCTTCAGTGTATTCTTTTTCAGGGACCTTCCATAATGAGACCGATGTCTGGATCTGAAAATATTTTTCCTATGACTGGCAAACATCTAATGCCAACCTCTGTGTCATCCAAGAAAAGCTTTACTGTTTACATAGATGAAGTGGAAGAGAGAAGCAAAAATAATTTTATAGTTGCAGAAGAAGTGGAACATAGTATGTGTGAAACCGAGACCAGTACAATAAAACCTAGCCTTCATCTACTATTGAACTTAAGTACAGGTAACTAATCATTAATCTAATAGGGAAAAGATTTTAACTTCTTGTGTTATATGTTGCCTCTTATGAAAGCAACATTTGAATGTTAAGGAGCACTTTTTGAATATTTTGCTGGTCTAGTGTCTCCAATGTTGGTGGATAAGTCCCTACAAAATGAAGATTGTGAGGATAATGAAGTGGACATGAGTACTGATGAATATGCAGAAGATATTCATAATTATTTAAGAGATGCAGAAGTAAGTACAAAAATAAACAGACTTGCTATTGTCCTACGTAATATTGTCCTGTAGATAATGGCTATGTAATATGTATACTGCAAGAGTTCAAATCTTTCTTTGATGACTCTGTCTCTTAAACCTCATCTTGGAGAATGTTTCCTTCTTGTGTAATATTCCTAGAAACTGCTTCCCATTCTATCTGAACAGCTTTAAGAGTGATGCTGTTGATTTTGCATTCCATAATTTACTAAGAATGGCTTCTAAAGGAGGATATTTCAGCTCTCTTGTTTGCATAGCTCTATATGCATTTGTGCATTGCTGTCTCTCTGCATATTTTAATTTCTATGGCCACCTACTTGTGAATGACACTGGGTTGGTAATAGTTTTGAGAGACAGTTCTTTATTTGTACAACTATACGTTCCTTACTCTCTTTTCCTTTCTCTGTACTAAGATAACCTTACAGTTTAGATTACATATATCTGACAAAACAGATCCTAATTAACAGAACGCCGTAATTATTTTATTTTCAAGACACAAAATTGCTTCTGTGTCTGTGCTACAGATGGTTTCATGTTGATTTGGATAGTTTTGGTTTAATTTTAAAAGAACTCAAGGTTCTTACTCCTACACCAAAATGATTATAATAATAATTTCTGGACCTATATTGGGCACAAAAGAGTGAGAAAACCTGCCTTTCTTAAAACAAAGCAGAAAAGACAGTTAGGCTTAATCATAAATGCTTCCCAGAAGCCATTTTTGCAAAATCATTGTGTATCCTCCTGTTCTCTAATCATGATTGGCTCTGTTACCTTAAAGGCAACACTGTCTTCTGCAGCTCTCCAAGAATATTGGTGTACTACTTCCAGAATTTTCACTTAGTGTAGCTTCTGCCTCATTTTATCATTTGACTTATAAAATTTACAACTTTTCAATATTTGGAGGGATCCACAAATTCAAGAGTTACACTTAGTGGCAATTCTTTGAGCCATCCATATAAACAGCAAATCTATTGTCCATTTGGAGATTTCCACAGAAGCACTCTAAAATGCTTTTTAAATCTTAGCTCACTGGATCCATGCATTGTTGCTAAGGCATTTTTTATATCTCATGTGATATGTGGCAACTATCTTTGTGGCTTTGCACTAACAATACAAAGATATAGAGGATAGCAAACATATTAGAGGATCAGGTGGAATTTGACAAGTTGTAACAATTTCCACATGGACAAATGCAAAGTCCCGCACTTGTGTGGAAAAAAATCAAAAGCAACACTGTAGGATGAGGGAGTACTGGATATACCTACTTTATTCTAGTGCATATAAAAAGTAATTGGCTGCCTTGGTCACAAGGTAAATATGAATCAATTATGTGATGGAACTTCAAAAAAGCAAATGCAGTCCTGGATTTCCAAATATACATACAGAAGCATCCTGTCAGGATCAAGAGAAGTCATTCTCTCTTTTCTATGTTGGGCAGATCCCAACTAAAACACTAGGCCATCAACACATTCTAGGAAGGACATTGACAAACTGAAGATGTCTACATGAGAGCATCCAAAATGATGAAAGGCCTGGAAGGAAAAAAAATAGGATTGATTGGAATAGCTGAATATGTTTAACCTGTAGAATAGAAAGCTGCAAGGGGACATGATGACTACTTCCAAGAATGTTAAGTTTATCATGGACAAGATGAGATAGAATTATTCAGACTGGTTCCAGAAAATACAGCAATAAATAGGGGATTTAAATTACAAAGAAGTAGACATCAGGAAAAAATGCCGTAATGGTAAGGAGTGTTCAACAAGGGAACAGATTGCCCAGGGAAGAGACAGACACTGTTAGTGGAGGTATTTAGATAAAGGCTGGATGGTCATTTGTTGATGCTATAGTGATAGATTTCTGCGTTGGACAGAGAACTGAACTACATAGACCCTAAGGTTCTCTCCAATCTTTATGTTCCATAATTGGTAGTTATAATAAATTATTTTAGATATAGTTATTCAGAGAGCCACAATTATACCTCTCCCTAAAGTAGTATTTTTATGTTTTCATCCAGTCCAAAAGTCTTAACATCTGCCCCAAACTGGTAAGGGGAGATGGAGGAATAAACCTTTATTTCTTGCCCAATGGCTCCATCAGCCAGCATTCTTGGAACAACTTGGAACATTCATAGATAACTTCCCTGATAGAATATACTCAGCATTCACACATTATATTAGGGCACAGACTGTCTACTGAGTGTCACAGTTGGCTGACATCACGTAGCACATTAAACCAAAGTAAAGCCAAACATATTAGGGCTTAGCGCAATACGTATGGAAGATATATTCCCTTTGCTTATTCTAAAGCTAAACCCTTTCTGTGTAGGTAAGATATAGGCCCAGACCATGCTACATGAGGAAGCAGCCTGATATAACCTCAGGAATGCGTGCCATCTTAGTGGATTGGCTAGCAGAAGTTGGTGAAGAATACAAGCTTCAGACAGAGACGTTGTACCTTGCTGTGAACTACTTGGACAGATTTCTTTCTTCCATGTCGGTCCTCAGAGGAAAATTGCAACTTGTAGGAACAGCAGCAATTCTCCTAGCTGCGTAAGTATGTTTATATAAAAGACAACCTGTGGCAGATGACTATTCTTGGATAGTTTATCAAGGTGATAGAAATTGCTGAAAAATGCAAGAAATCATTAATACACCTCCAGTTGGTTCCCTATTTTTCCCAACCTCCATTTCCTGCTTTTACTATTCTGCACCAAGGCTTAAAACAATCAAGAGTTTTAGAGGGATTTGCAAGGGATAATTGTCTTTGTGTTCATGCATCCGAACATAGCATATCCCTCTTACAAAAACATTTTGAACATTGGCCTGTTTGGCAAGCAGGAAAGCTACATTCGCAACACATCCTGCCTATCCTATCCTATGCTAGAGACAAAATCTGATATTGGATCATCATTTTGGATCTGCACCCTAACTTGAATTTTACCTTACATAAGCACATGTTGATGATTTTGACAAGTCCCCAGGGCAGGATTAAAAGACAAGCTGTTTTGAATGCCGATTGCTTAGCAGGCATAGTTCCTACTTCACTGTATCTTGCATTTCTGCAAATGCCTACAAGACATGGCAGACAAGTCTGTAAGAATTTAATATCAAATTCCCTAGCTTGTCTATATTTATATAATCCCTTAATATTCAATAATGTTAACTGACACAATGTATTTGTTATATAGACTGCTTAGATATTAAAATATTACAGACTCATGCATGAATGTTTATAAGAAAATGTAAAAGTGAGTCATGAATTAAAAAAAACTTTGAGGGGTAGGAGATAATGAGGTGACTGGGATGAGTTGAGTGAGAGATTTTAGCTGGTATAAATGATTGAATGACAGTAACTATAAGTAGGTAAAGTACTGAACTAAGAAAATTTAGTCCATCCTCAGCCTTGTTGGTTGACTTTGGGCTGATCACACACTCAGCCCAACCTATCTTGTGAGGTTGTTGGTAGGAGAAATATGTTGGGGGATCTTTATGTATGTCACCCTGAGCTCCTAATTGAAGGGAAGGAATTAAATTAGTAAATGAATAAAAGTAAGAACTGCTCTGTAATGAAAATGTAGCTCACCTGTAAAGATTATAATGCTTACACCAAGTCGTAGTCATGAAAATGCGGTTGAGATACAATGAATCTTTCTATACTGTTCTTTTCCCCAGGAAATATGAAGAAATCTACCCCCCAGAAGTAGAAGAATTTGTGTACATAACAGATGACACTTATTCCAAAAAGCAACTGTTGCGAATGGAACACCTGCTTCTTAAAGTACTTGCTTTTGATTTAACTGTGCCGACCATCAATCAGTTCCTCCTTCAATATTTACAAAGACACGGTGTAAGTCTTAAGACGGAGAACTTTGCGAGGGTAAGTTCTTTGCTTTACAAGTTATTCTTTGTTTTGTAAGCATTTAAAGGACATCTAGACCATAAAACAAATAGCCACCTATCTGCACTGTGGTATCTGTTTTCAAGATATATTTGATATGTTATCTTGAAATTACATTTTTTAAACACAAATGGATACTTCAGTGGAATTTCTATCTAGGTCTGTTGTATCTGATTAACAAAGTTCATCTTGGTACTTCTAAAACAGATGAAATCTGTATTACTGAAAGGTTTTGCAAACTGAGGATACAGAGCTACACATTTCTATCCAGTCTCAAAGCTTTGGCTGTGAAAACTCTTCCCAAAATTGCTATTGAATTATGAACTCATCATGTTACAGAAGATGGAATTGTCACAATGAACATATTACTATATTAAACTAATTTAATTTAAACTGAAATCAAATATGATTTATTAGGATTTGAATCCAAACAAATCTAATTATATTTTAACCCTGTCCATTTATTGCATATGATTCCTAAGACACCATTGGTACAACATATTTCATATTTGTGCCTTGAGATAATTTGAAAGAAGGGGGGCAGAACCAGAATAGTGAGAATTGCCCTCATCTCTTCCCACTCCAGGGATAAGTGGGGGAGGGACAAGAATACTATTTGCAAAAAACATAAATTCCTTGCAGGAGCCATTGAAGAGCAGTCTGAAATAAAATGATATCATTTAATAAAAGTACAAGTAGTCAAGGATAATACAACTATGCAAATACAGAATTGCCAAAGTCAAAAAGCAAGTACTTCCTTTCCATAGTTTAGAAAGCAAATAGATCAGTGTTACTTTGCTAATGATCATAAGCAAGTGCAACAAAAGGATGGAAAAGGCCTGTTAACTTTTTCAGCTAAGCAGAAAACTCAGTGTAAATATGCCAAACCATTAGTAATATTGATATCTATCAACTTTCCTAATGTTCCTTCCTTAAAAAATGTTCTGTTCTTTTAGTACATAGCAGAATTGAGTCTCCTTGAAGCAGACCCATTCCTGAAGTATCTGCCCTCACAAATGGCAGCAGCTGCTTATTGTCTAGCAAACTACACCGTGAACCGGCATTTCTGGGTATACGTTTATTTTAATTTAAAGGGGGTTGAATATGTCTGGGCATTTTTCAAGAATGAACTATGAAGGATAAGAAGGTTTCTTATGTTTCCTTTAGCAGCATTTTATTTTTAGCAACTAGCTTCAGAAATGGCTATTTCAATGAAATGATCAGTACTATGACAAAACAATTTCCAATGTTTATTATTTAGGCTATGCCTCTATAAAGAATGTTTACAGATTTTAGCTTTGGCTCAACAGCTGTTTATTTCAGCACCACAGGCTTTGTCCTGGCACCTTGTTCAGTATTTTATCTCAAACTGAGCAGATGTGAATTTGTCTATGCAGGAATGAGGTGAGTAACTACTGAGCGTAGCAGTTTGTTCCAAAAACAGTCCTAGCAATACAAGTCTGTGTTGGGTTTCTTCAGTTTTATATCAGGGAAATGTTCCCATTATGTAGAGCAAAGATCGTAAAAATCTTCAGGGGACCTGTCCAGAAATTTCCTTCCAGATGTATACTTTAAAAATCAAAATATAATATTTAATGTAATGGAGAAAAGTATTAAATATAGAGGAGTTATATGAACTGTATTTAACTAATTAATCCAATCAAGATTAGAAGATAAATGTAGTTTTTGCTTACTACAAGAGCCCTGCCAAACCTGACAATATGATAGGATAATATGACCAAAGTTTCATAATGTGAGCTTTTTAAAATTGAGCAAATCTTTTTGCCTGTATGAGCAGTTTGAATTGATTTCTTTCTGGATCCCTATATAATGTTTAAGGTAAGGCTGCTGATTTGTATAAAGTCTGTCCTAACTTAATAGCTGATTCAGCATAAGTTTCTTTCCAGGTCCTTTCTTGTCTCTCTAAATTTATTTGTAGTACTGAAGCTGTAACTCTGTCTTCTCATGAGCAGCCAGAAACTCTTGCTGCTTTCACTGGATACTCACTGAGTGAGATTGTGCCTTGCCTAAGTGACCTACACAAAGCATGCCTCGATGCGCCTCATCGACAGCAGCAAGCAATAAGGGAAAAATACAAGCTGACTAAGTAAGTTCTTGGGTCAGCAGCTGCATCTTGTCCTTCTAATCTCCATGTCAGTTCATAATGCCAGATTTGGAAGCAATCTAGTAGAATTCAAAAACTGGGGAGTGGGGGGGGGGAGACACAGGAGATGGCCTTTGCAACAGTGTACAATGTTGTTGGACCAAAGTTCCCTTCATCCTTTACTATTGGCTATACTTAGCCAACATAATACAAATTGGAGTTCTTAGGTTGCTTGTCCCATTCAGACTGATAACACTGAGCAGACTGCGTCTATCTATTCCACACAGTATACGGGTGATTGATTCACATGTATGGATTTTTATTTTGCTAAACCATTGTCTTTCTGTTGACAGGGAATCTCTAGTTATTTGAGGTAGTAAAACTCCCCCATTATATATTTATTGAATACTTCTTTGGGGTACATTACTTACTGATGTTCATATACTTTAAAATTAATTATAGGAATCTGAAAAATTACTCTTATTTCTTCCTTGAGTATTCTCCAAGAGATACCTGTTCAAAATACAGCATCATTTTAAAGAACAGATAAATATCATAAAGCAATATAATAAGCATCAGTTCCAAAGATACCTAACTCTTGCAGACAGAATATAATTTGGGCATGGCAGAATACCCACAGTTCAGAAACATAGATCTTCCAACATTTATTCCTACGTGGAATTCTGTAATAAAACCATGTGTTTTCCTGGGATTGTATTTGTGCCTGGAAAAGATGCAGCTGCTTTAAAGTGGTTCATATAGTTGCTATGATTCTGTTTGTGGATGGTCTGATTCACATTCCAGAGAAGGAAAGCGATCAAGCCACTGATCTAGAGCACTGGAACTTGGAGACTGTCAAGGTCAATCTGGGATCAGTAATAAGTGGCTTCCTTTTTTACAGATATATGCAAGTATCCCTTCTGGAGCCACCAACTGTTCTACCTCTACATTGAATTGCAGCATGCCCAGAAAAACACAGAAGCTGAAGCACTTGCCTCCTGATCAATAGAGTTGATCTGGCCAATTTATTATTTTTATAGGGCACTGCAGGTCACGTGTCTAATCTACTGCTAAAACTATTTTTAGATAACCGTCTGATCTTTAGCTGTATTGTATTACAAGGACTCAGTATTGTAGTTTTTATCATAACCTAAAGACACTTTTAATAAACATCTTCGTCTTCAAAAGAAAAAACACTTGATTATTGACTTTGTATATCTCCTTTGGTTTTGAACAGTTTTAAACAGGTGTGGTAATGAAATTTGCCAATAAAATGAAAACTGGTATTACTGTATATCTTAGGGCGAAATGGTGGAGCAAGACTTTATTTAAGAGTTCAAATTCTCCTTTCCTTTTCTCATCTCAAGATAAAGCAATTTACTCTCTCCTATAATTAATTTGTCTGTTTATGTGACAATTCTCCAACAAAAGGAAAGAACCAGACTGTTATCCAGGATGATCACCTTCTAGAAATCAAAGCTGGAAATAATATGAGAAACATTAGAGAAGTGAGATGCTGGTAATGGGGGAGAATTATTAGTACTTATTTCATGCTGGAAGAGAGCTAGAAATTCCTTATGTAGGGAATGCTGTAAATAGACGTTTTATAGGCATACATTAGGGATTATGTTGTTTTCTTTTGGCTAAAGTAGTGACACCTTTTTTTAAAAAGTTGCTATTATATTCATGAAAAAAAATTAATTTGAAGCTGTTAATTGTGTTCATTTCAAAAGGTAAAAATTCCCTTGAATCAAGCTCAACACTTGTGATTACATGGACATATTCATTTAGTTCACTTGATAAAATATGGGAAGTGGTTTGACATTGGAATAATAATAATATTGATAATACTAATGAAAATTAAAGGAATCAAAATGCCCTATGGATATAACGTCAAGAGCCTGAATGAAAATGATCACTACAAGTGCCTGATAGCTTTCAAGCTGACAACATCAAGCACACTGAAGTTAAGGAATACAAAACTGGGGGAATATTATCAAGGAGGTTAACACCTGGGCAATTCCAGTAATTGTTCCAGAATATTTTATTGCCTTTATGCAAAATGTATATATAGGTCAGGAAGCCACAGTGTGGACAGACAGGCAAAAGTGAGACAAGACTATATACTCTCCTCTTATTAATTCAATCTGTATGTTGAATGTATATTAAGGGGAGCTGGGTGGGAAGAAGATGAATGTGATTTTAAAATTGATGACACTACTTTGACATTTTAAAATGCGACCTATCTGCAAGCTCCAGTAATAAAAGGCAAAGAATACAGTGAAAAAAAAATAGATTAAAATTAAATATAAAGGCCAAACTAAATTACAACAGGTACAACAGCCAGCCTTAGAACTGAATGTTTACAATTATTTTCTTTCATATGGATGTAAATTAATCCTGTAGACTAAGAAGCAGTATTACTAATGTCACATCATAAGGGCTGGGGAGGACGAAGTAAACTTTCTACTACTGTCTTTAAAAGATTGATACTGTTTACTAGATGGGCAATATTTCACAAATGAATAATAAATCCCGCTCAAATGTGGGCATGAAACTGATAAAGGATTTTTTTCAGCCTTTGCTTTGAGAGGACACAGTTTTTAAAAATTTGCAAGCTCTTTCCTTCTCACAGTCAGATTCAGAGTTCAGATGAAAGCCCAGCACAGACTTTGATGGGATAATTTCATGATCTCCAATACCCAGAACACTACTTAGATGGTGCTAACGACATCTAACAGTGATCTTGACAGCATTCCAAGGTGCAGTCTGGGAACAAATGTACAGAACATACCCATTCCTCTTCTCCTGAGATAATCTCAAGATAAATCACAAAACAAGAAGACCTAGGACACTTTGAAAAGAACAAAACATTCTAATGTTAACTAAGTTAGAGTCTCGACTTTTATTGTAATTGACATGAGTAGTTGTGAAAGCTGTTGCTGTCTTCCAGCCTTGGATTTTAAGATCAAAGCTACTGCCAAGATTCTCCTTGTTCACTGTTCATAAATCTGAAGCCTTGGAGGACTCCACCATAAGACAATTCTGACTTTCATAAAGCCTTCAGGATCATTGATGCATTGATTAAGCCTCTTCCATTTTTGTATAATGTTCATTTGTCCTATCTGTTATAGTCTGGATGAGCAATTCGATCCTATCAGTTACAACTTGAACCACTTGTCAGGGGTGAGTAAGGATGTCAAAATTCAATTCCCTGAGCCAATTATGAAGTAAGCAAAATTTTTTAAGTGTCTTAGCCCAACATTCTTCAATCATTGTATATACAATTACAATATTACAATTGGAACATCTTTTATTTCAGAATGTACTTTTGCATGTTTAAATTATGTGGTTGTTTCAAGATTTATAAGGCTAGCAACTCAGATAATGTGACTGTAGGCAGCACACAAGATAAACGCACAATAAATAAAACACCCGATAAATAAAATAATAAAACCACCTAAAAACAAACTCAACCATCCCCTAAGGGCTGCGGGAAGAGCCAGGTCTTAAGGTCAACCTTAAAGGTAAGATTTGGGGCCTGTTGTATATGAAAGGGGGAGGAGATTACACAATTAAAATGCGTTTTCTCTCTAGATTACTGTCCATTAGCCTTATGGCTGAATAATCAAGAATGGACAGCTGTTAACTGGGGATCCATATGCACGTACCCATTTAATCCCCCCACACCTGAGGTACTCTTCACTTAAAAGTGAGCACTTAGAGGCTTTCAGGGGCACTAGGCCCCATTTTCATCATAGTCTCATGAAAACTTAGATAACATCTAAGAAAACAAATCATGTCACCTAAAACTCCTACATCTTTTGTGTCATACTTGGCTTCTTTAGCACATTTTCCCAGCTAAATAAGACCATCGACTGCATTATGTGTGCTTCCATAGTGGCTGCAGTCTAAACTGAAACTCCTTATTTTTCGAGTTTGTGTTTGTTTTATAACTACCCAGGGCATTATTCAGTTTTGAAACTTTTTTTTTCTGTATACAAGAGTCTGAATGCATTCATGTAAATTCAGGACACACATTCCTTAGTAGTCAACAACGCAATAAGAAGCTGAGTTTACATAATGAATCTGGCTGAAAATAACAGGCTGATGTTGGCAGTGAAGATAAAACAACTACATTAAAAAAGGTGCTTCTTTTGGCATTAATAAAATCTAGGTCAAGCTTAATCAACGTTAACTTTTATGTTTTATGCCTGCATAAGTGCACATGCAGAGAATATTCCTATCACTTGGTGTACTAAGCCATGATTTGCATTCGCAAAACTATAATTGGATCAATGTATACAACACTAAATTGTAGCTTAACATAAAACAGACCTGGATACTCACTGATGCCAGATCAGATCATTAGCTCATTTTATGCTGTGCTGAGCATTTTCAGGATGGTGACCTTAATCTCTTATAATTTGGCCCTGCAAATTTTTAAGAAAATGAGATAATAAAAAGCAGTTATGAAGATCATTCATGGTGTTAGGCAGCAAAGTCTTTTAATCCATTATTCTTACTTTGTGAGTTGAGTTTTTCCAGAGATGTGTCATTTTCTCTCCTAGCTCATTTGTCTATAAAGGAATAACATGCAACTCTCCCATTTGTCTTTAGATTTCTCTAGATCAGGGGTAGGCAACCTTGGCTCTTTTATGACTCGTGGACTTCAACTCCCAGAATTCCTGAGCCAGCTGTGCTGGCTCAGGAATTCTGGGAGTTGAAGTCCACGAGTCATAAAAGAGCCAAGGTTGCCTACCCCTGCTCTAGATGGTTTTTCTTTTGCCAATACAGTTCTCATATCGTTGGTTGGCTATTTGCATTTGGATGTTATTCATGATTCTAATCTGTCCTTAAAATTTTCACGTTAGTGAAGGGACAATTTTAATAAATTAATAGATAAAATAAATCGTTAAGAAGTGACATCAGCTTGAGTATAGGTGGAAATAATCCAGCATAATAAAGCTGACAAAATGGAGGAATATTGTCATTTTGATTACCACATGCTTTTCATAATGAGAATTATTCTAATACATAACCATTGATGATCACAATGCCATGGCTAATAAATTTACATGCTTCTCCTGAAGAGACATCAACTTTTTGTCATATGGCAAAGCATAGCTTTTACCTATAAAAGTTCTACCTTGTCATCTGGAGTTATACTAGGTCTCAGTCTTAATTTCACTGTAATAATTTATGGCAAAGGTTCACATTTCTTATGCCTTTGCCCCCTACAAATTTCCTTCATGAAAGACACTTTTTTCCTAATCTGGCTAGATTACAGAAATAATTGTATTTGTCTTTGTTGTTGCTATCTGATCTCAGTGCTTATTAACGATGCTTTAGAGACTGATGGGATTATTTGAATTTCTGGGAGTTTTATTTTCATTTATTTTTGGCCAGAAAGATTATTGGCAGGTTAATGGAAAATGGAGAGAATTATGACCATCGATATCAGATATCAAACAGAACTTAGACTCAGAAGGGAAAAGGCAGGTCAGTTGCCCCAAACTGAGAATTAGTAAGAAGGTTCTGAAACCTTTTGAGTTCAACTCGCATTACAGACTATGCCATGCCTCTTATGCCTCCGAACAAATATTTCAGCTGTGAGTTTGTGCTCATAGAATGCATGGCTTCATCTAGAGCAGAGTTTGGTACTGGTCCATTATCTGTTAGGAACTGGGCTGCACAAATGATGGGCGAGCGGCAAAGCTTCATCTGCGCATGTGCAGAATCTAGGTTGTGTGCAAAACTATCCCCGTCCCCCCACCGGTCTGTGGAACGCAATTTTTCTTCTGAAATTGGTCCCTGGTGCCAGAAAGGTTGGGGGGCACTGATTTAGAAGAAGGCAAGGCCTCATTAAATTCTTTCAGATCATGTTATAGTTCTAGATTCTATCCAAGATGCAGCACCTCTAATCAATGCTTGATTTTTTTTAGTATGTCTGTGTTTCACTGTCTATCTTTTTTATTCCAGTTCTTTACCGAACCTCCTGTTTCCCTGACTGTCCAAGAACTACATATGTCCCCAGATATAATAGAATTGTCTAGAGCAAAATAGGGGAATCAATATTAGAACAATAAAGCTTCTGTAAAATAGGAGTTTCAAATACTTTTAAACAGCTT